TATAGAGTATGTTTCAGACAGACAAACATGCATTTGCCAGAAGCTTTGTTCTTTTTAAATATAAAATGAAGCCTCCATGAAATGGAATTAAGCCTTCTAGCATTTTAGGATTTTAGCCTGTATTAGCGGTTACCGACTTTGAGGGCATGTTAGAATCAATCGCCTACGGAGCTTTTAAAAGATAATGAGGCCCAGGTCCCACCTCCAGATACACTGATTTAATTATGCTGGAAGGCAGCCTGATTATCAGGATTTTAAGAAGCTGCCTGGATGATTCTAACGTGCACCCAAGGCAGAGAATCCTGACCTAGAATTAACTGAAAACAACATGACCGGCGCAAAACAAAACAAACAACCCTCCCACCACACACGCACACACACTTGCGCGCACACACACACACAACTTCTGTGACCGTAATGGAGCAGCCCCTCCATAAAGCCAGGAGTACCAGCCCCTAAAAGTAGTCCTTCTCAGGGATGGCTAGTGCTCTTCTAACACAAGCTAAGAAGTGTGAGAAAAGTCAGGAGAGGGGTGCAAACAGTGAGTCCACTGTTGGAAGCCACCAGGGCAGCCGCAGACCTGTTGACAAGTAGAAGGGCTTTAGATCTGATGCCTACAAAGCACAATCAACAGTGAAGACACCAAAGAGGGCCATCAAAGAAGAGAAAGGCTAGAGAAGGGCCGCCAAGCCACACCGCGCTGGGGGTGGCATTCCGACCGCAGTCTGTGCAAACGGGGCCCCTGGAGACATGCAGGTCTACAAAGCCGGCTGCCTACGGCAAGACCCAGAAAGGGAAGGCCTTTGCAATGAACCCTGGGAAAAAGGCAAACAGCCAACTTCACTCCCTACTTGGAGGTACAGGTGTGTGTGTGTCGGGGGGGAAGGGACAGTTTACAGTGGGGATTCATACACATCAAACACCTACTGTGCACCAAAGGATGTTATCACGTATCGTGTCGTAAGTACCCAGTGAAGAGGCCTCATCTTTCTCTTTATTATTGTAAAAGCGACCACTGCTAAGGTGAACAGACTTTTTAAGGTTGAGCAGCTGTTTTTTATGTTTTTGTTTTTCTGAAAAATTTGAAAGCCTTTACCGGGGCATATTCACTATCATTTCTTGCCCTCCCTTCTACAGCCAGCCACTCCCCATTCACTGACCTCAGGAGGCTCCCTACCTTGACAACTCCAGCCAGCCAGCAAACATCAGCCTCTGCTTTAAGCCAGTGTTCTCCCTTGTGAATACGTGTGTTGGTGGCATAGAGTGAAATGTAAGGGGCAAAGCTTCTCTTAAGCTTTGTTGGAGGTCATCTAGTTTTGCTAAAAACTTTATGAAGTCACTCTGAAGAGATGGGGGAGACATACTTAGGAAGTTTTGGCTATCATTTCAGAGGGCTGACTTACAGACTCCCTGAAGACCCACAAGCCCCCCACCGCCGAAGATTCCAAGGACTAGCTCAGAGTCCTCAAGAATCACCGATAGCACCCTAAGTAGCACACCGGTATTCAGAGTTGGGGGGGGGGTTGCTGGGGGGGGGTGCAGGAAGGGCCCTAGTGGCTATTCACCGCGTGCATGATTCCATCTGTGCATTCCAATCAACAGAAGAAGTTACCATTGCAACCTCAGGTATCAAACATCTTAGGTTTGTGAATACGTGTTTGTGAAGCCAAAGTAATGAAAGGTGAGTGGATATATGTGAATCGCCAGGGACAAAGATATTACCCTAAACACCACAACAAAAGCCACCTAATTAACCCCACAGTAGACCCTAACCAACTTCCAAATTACTTCCAATTCGGGTTAAATTACCCTCCTGCATCTTTAGTTAATATGTTCTCATATTAGTGAACATTTTTAGTGTCTCTATGCCCTCTGTGCACAGCTGACCATCTTCAGGGAATTTTCTACCCATACCAGGCAAATCAGCTATTCATAATGTCCCCCAGAAAGAGGCTCCAATAAGAACATCTCTCACCTAGAAAGTCATTCGCTAAAGGAAGTGAGCCTGGGTAGCCTCCTTCAGCATATGATGGGGTCACATGGCACACCGCATTTCACTTCTCTTCAAACAAACCCATGAGTAATACCAAGACCTTCAGTCTAGGTCATACTGCCTTCCTCATTTTAGGGCACATTTTCCCCAAACTCATTGCCTGGAGACACAAGTTCCAGGTCTTGAGAATATGAATTGAGTAAAAGCTTAGCTGTGTCTATTTCTGGAACAACCCTGTTGTCTTTGGAGGTTAGTGATGAGCAGCCTAATAAGGCTTAGACTTATTCCAGATAAATATTAGATATGACTATCGGATAGGAATTCTTAGTCCGTTATCTTTGGAATGGTGGCAACTGTTAACTGAAGTACTAGGTGAAATCTCAAGATTCTACACATAATCTTAAACACTTCGCCAGAAATGCACTCCCGTGTGTTTGAATTCATGCATCTATCTCTTGTTGCCTAGTGATGCGTTTTGGGGGGCACCAAAGAATGAATTCGTTCTACAAACACCTGTGGAGGTCTTGTTTAGTGCTATTTATTTCAGAGCAGGACCACTAAAATTGATACAATTACCTGCAGCATCTCAAAGAATAATCCATGGCAACTGGTGAACAGAACTCCACATGCTTCTGAGAAGTGCTTCTCAGATGTTACGAGGGGCACAAAGATTTGGGGAATATGTTTAAACCCCCAGGTGTGGGCTACTGTATTGGCTCATGCAATTGTGGGGCTTGCAAGTCCAAAATTTAGAGGGCAGGCCAGGGCTTGGAAACCCAGGCAAGAATGAATGCTACAGCACTCAGACAGAATTTCTTCTCGGGGAAAGCTCTTCTGCTCCCAAGGCCTTCCAACTGGTTGGATGAGGCCCAATCACATTACCCCGGGTAATGTGACTTGACTTAGAGTCAACTGATTACAGTTGTTAATCACATCTGCAAAGTACCTCCACAGCAACACCCGGGTTAATGTTTGATTGAAGAGCTGGGCCCTGTAACCTAGCCAAGTACTCATTAAACTGAGCATTACAGGTAGAAACGGAGACCGTTCCCAGATTCTGCTGATGCCGCTGGTTCACATGTTGAGGAGGAAGGCTAGGGGGAACCCAGTTTTTGCCTGGCCATTATTTCCCCTTCTCCACTCATACTGGATCCAGCAAAATTAAATACCGTTCCTCACCTTTTTTACAGGCGTGTCTCATCTTACAGTTCTTTCCATCTGCTTTTCTCTTGAGTCTGGCCTCTTAAACGATCACAGGCCCAGAGGCTCTGATCACCATATGGGCCCAGAATTGAAAGACTTGTTCTCTGAAAGAAGGTTTTTAATTGCAGTTGGCATTTCGGAGTCAGACACTGAGGCGACCATCTGGCAGACAGCCGCCATGGTCTGTGATGCTGGCAACAAATGCCCCACGGCCCCCGAGACCAGGTGGGACAAGTGTATTGGCCCGTCACACACGTCCTCCCTCCAGAACAAAGCAGCAAGTCAAGCAGCCTCAGAGCAGGCCCTTCATAACTCTTCACGGAAGAAAGACATTTCCAAGGGAATAAAATACTTCGGCCTATGACTATAAACAAACAAATAACACCTCGTGATTAAGTCGAAGATATTTTAGGAGTATTTTTCTTCTCTACAGCATAGCTGGAAATCGTAACACAACACAATACCTTCTATTTTAGTTTTAAAAGTATTTTAACCGCCATTCCCTAAGTAATTGTAAATATCTGGAGAGCAGGGGAGGTGGGCTCTTCTTCAAGTGATAGTCCCGCACGGTCTCTGAAGGACCAGGATGAGTCCTAGAGAAACCATCACTTAGTTAACTTGGAGACCAGAGTATGGGCAGGAAAGAAACAGAGACAAGTGGCCTGAATACATCAATTCTTTTCGTGCAAATGTTCTATGATAATACTTTTAAAAAACCTTCCAAGGATGACCGAAACAACACTCAAAAATCTCTCTGAAATGGTGGAAAAATCATTCTAGTCAAAAACCTAATAAGAAAAGATGTATCCTTTCACATTGAAATTGCCTACCACATGGCCAACCTTTAAGGATCTGTCAAGCGTCTGTGATATTCTCCACGTCCCAAGAGATTTAAAACAAACATCTGCCCTCCTGGGGCTTACCTTCTAGTTGGAGAAGCAAAATTATCAAATGTAACTGACTTGTCTTTAAATGCAGGCATGAGGTCAAAAAAAGGAGACAGACTGGCACAGGAATACCCAGTTTTATGGGGGGTGGGGGGTGGGGATCGGTCCCTGAAGAATGGGTGGCTTTGGCAAGGGAAGGACAAAAAGGCACTCTGTGGGGTGCCTGGGGGGCTCAGTCGGTTAAGCGTCTGACTTCGGCTCAGGTCATGATCTCATGGTCCGTGAGGTCGAGCCCTGTGTTGGGCTCTGTGCTGACAGCTCGGAGCCTGGAGCCTGCTTTGGATTCTGTGTCTCCCTCTTTCTCTCTCCTCCCCTGCTCATGCTCTGTCTCTCTCTTCTCAAAAATAAATAAACGTTAAAAAAAAATTTTAATTTAAATAAAGGCACTCTGGGCTGAGCAAACAGCTCAGACCAGGAGAGTCTGAGCAGAGATGAGATCTCTGAAGACAGAGAATCATTCATCAAATAGGCATCCTGCATTTGAGTGGCACATGCATGTTCTGGTGTGTATGCTATTCACAGGACTGGCTCGGTAAGTGAGATTTACAAAAGGCAAGGAGAGTTGGGAAGGCAGAGCAAAAGCCCCAGGAGCAGAAGCACAGGAGGCAAGAACTGAATCTCAGACATAGTCTGCCTCCTCTCATAGTAGAAATATTCTAATCTAGAAATGAACTGAAGAAACTCCAGGCCTGGTTTAAAAACTTAAAAGTCAGGGTCTGGCAAGTAAACTAATGAATCTGGACAGTTGTCAACCATCCTAATAAAACTCCAGCCTAAATTCACTAAAAAGTAGGTAACTGTGAATAAATCGGAGAGGAGGTGTGTGTGTGTGTGTGTGTGTGTGTGTGTGTGTGTGTGCACGCGCGCGCGCGTGCGTGCGTGTGTTCCCTCCCTTTTTGACTTGTTCAGTGGAGGAAGTTAGCTTTGAAGGTTTGGGTTTATTATTTTTTTTTTCTTTAGCCTTTTTGGCTAAAATGAGTCGAATTGTTCACTATGGATTGTTTCAAGGAAACTGCATAAACCAATGTAGGGACTTGTATTCACCAAACAAATAAATGAAGGGATTAAGCTATGTTTCAAAGGGATTAATCCAATAGGGCATTTTACATTGAAAACTTGACTGTACCTTTAAAGGAGGATTTTAAAATTCTGATTTACAGGGAGATTTTTTAAAGCCATATATAGACTAAAACAAGTTGCAGCTGAATGGAAAAGTAATTGGCATTTTCTAGTGACAAACATAAAATAACTGAGCTAGAGTTTGATTGCAAACTTCTCAACTGAACACTCCCCAACCCCTATAGTTCCAAATAGCTCCCAATATGCACACTCTGTTTTCTTGCTTAGCCCTGAATTTCTTGGATCACTGAGGATGAAGTGCAGCTTGAGTTCTCCGAAAACACTTGCTGCATTTGCTTTTGGGGGGGGGGGGTGGCGGGTATATGTCCCAGAATCAGGCCACATATCAGGTGACAAAACCCACACATTTTAAATGACTCTTGCAGATGGAAATATCTATATTACTGCCAAAGGCAGTATTTCCGAATACTAGAATTTTTGCCACAAAGAGCTGAAAAACTCTTAGCTCTCTCAATCATCTTCTTTAATGTTTAACAGGGATCTAGTAGAAAAACAGCCCTCAGAAAGCTGGGCAGGGGTGAGCAGTTGGCAACAAATGCCCCTGTCCACACATGGCAATTTTAGTTTACCATTAAGAAAGCTGATTTTCACAGTGTGTTTATCTGGCAAAATCTTAACTCTAGAGACTTTGAAATGAGCCAACACCAGGAGAATGCAGGGGCTGGGGTTGAGGAAAAGAGGAAACCAGTTGAATAAATTAAGCCACAACAATGCAAATGGGATACTATACCAAGTGAAGGAGTACAATTTGACACTATTTCACATACTGTCAAAATAACTATTCTGCTGGGAAATGCTTTAAAGTTAGTTGGTGCTTTAAGTAAAGTAATAGTAACTGAGAAAACAATTCTCCCTCAGTTGATGTGACTTGGATGGTATACCGTGACAACAAGCAAAAGCACCCAGAGATTACTGCAAATAAATATGATTAACTCTCTTGGTGACAGTCAAAACAGCATTGGTAAATAGCCTGGCAGAGGCACCATAATGAGCACACGATTTATGGAGTGCTATAGCATTCCAACTCAACTCAAATAATTACCAGAAAAATTAGCCGACATAAGCAAACATGCATTACCTATCTGCTTTGTGAGCGGATATTAAAGCCTTATGGGGGTGCCTGGGTGGCTCAGTTGGTTAAGCGGCCGACTTCGGCTCAGGTCATGATCTCACGGTTTGTGAGTTCGAGCCCCGTGTCAGGCTCAGTGATGACAGCTCAGAGCCTGGAGCCTGCTTCAGATTCTGTGTCTCCCTCTCTCTGACCCTCCCCTGTTCATGCTCTGTCTCTCCCTGTCTCAAAAATAAATAAACATTAAAAAAAATTTTTAAAAAGAACTCTTATGGAAAGGGTGGACATTATGAGACATAACCCTTTCTTTTCAAGATGCTTACAGTCCTGTAGGGAACCAAAAAAAAAAAACAAAACAAAAAAAAAACAAACAAAAACAAACAGTACTTGTATGATTTTTATCAAAAAACTTTGGAAATGAGGGCGCCTGGGTGGCGCAGTCGGTTAAGCGTCCGACTTCAGCCAGGTCACGATCTCGCGGTCCGTGAGTTCGAGCCCCGCGTCAGGCTCTGGGCTGATGGCTCAGAGCCTGGAGCCTGTTTCCGATTCTGTGTCTCCCTCTCTCTCTCTGCCCCTCCCCTGTTCATGCTCTGTCTCTCTCTGTCCCAAAAATAAAATAAAACGTTGAAAAAAAGAAAAAAAAAAAAACTTTGGATATGGAAAGGCTCTTCAGTTTTGTGAAGTATGTGAAAATACTGGTCAAAGCAGATGATTCAGAGGCTCATGCTCTGGAAAAGGGCTGGAAATATGATAGCACTCAGGTGAAGTACTTCTTTAAGGGGTGAGGTTCGAGATGCTTGGTTTCTGACACCCAAATAAGCTGGGAATAGACCAGACTGAGAGACGTTAAAGAAGGGATTGCATGAGCCACAGAGAGTCCACAGATGTGTTCTGTTTGGCCTAAACTATTTTCTTTTTAAAATGTGAACCAAGTGAGGCTCTTGGGTAGCTCAGTAGGTTAAGTGTCTGACTCTTGATTTCAGCTCAGGTTACAATCTCACGGTTCACGGGTTCAAGTCCATGCTGTGCTTGACAGCGTGGAGCCTGCCTGGGATTCTCTCTCTCCCTCTTTCTCTGTCCCTTCCTCACTCTCTGTCTCTCTCAAAAGAAACAAATAAATGTAAAAAAAATGTGAACCAAGTTTTCTTTTAAAAAAAAATTTTTTTAACGTTTATTTATTTTTGAGAC